TTCCATCATAGAGATCTTTCATCTCCTTGGTTATATTTTATTTTAAGTATTGAGCTTTTCTTCCAGGATTATATTGAATAGCAATGGTAAAAGTGGGTGTCCTTATGTGGTTCCTCATCTCAGTGTAAATGCTTCCAACTTTTCCCCATTCATAATATCATACATCAGTTTGATTGTGTAGAAGAATGTTTCTTCTTTTTTTTTTAACTTTTATTTAATGAATATAAATTTCCAAAGTACGATTTATGGAGAAGAATGTTTCTTCTATACTTAATTTGCTTAAGGTTTTATCTTGAGAGAGTGTTGTATTTTATCAAATGATTTCTTTGCATTTATTGAAATAATCATTGTGTCTATTCTTCAGTTTGTTAATGTGACATATCACATTTATGTATTTGTGTATGTTGAACCAACCCTGCATACCAAAAATAAATCCCACTTGGTCCATGTGAATGATCTTCAAGATGTATTGTTGGGTGATATTAGTTAGTATTTTGTGAGGATTTTTGCATCTATGTCCATCAAGGATATTGGTCTGTAGTTTTCTTTCTCGGTTGCATCTTTTTATGATTCTGGAATTAAGGTGATGTTGTCTTCATACAAACAATTTGGGATGATTCCTTCCCTTTCAATGTTTTGAATAGCTTGAGAAGAATTGGAAGAAGTGCTTCATTAAAAGTCTGGCAGAATTCAGCAATAAAGCCATTCAGTCCTGGACTTTTCTTTATTGAAAGGGTCTTAATTATTGATTTAATTTCCTTTTTGGTTATTGGTCTGATTAGGTTTGTTTGTGTCTTCATGACTCAATTTAGGTAGATTGTATGTGTCCAGGAATCTATTAATTTCTTCTAGGTTTTCCAATTTTGGCATATGGCTCTTTGTAGCAATTTTTGATGATTCTTTTTTCTGTTATATGTTGTTTCATTTCCTTTTGTTAGTTGGGCCAATGACCCATCAATATTATTTTTCCAAAAAGCCACCTCTTCATTTCAGTGATTTTTATATTGTTCTTTTGGCTTTTATTTTATTTATTTATTTTATAATTTTAATTATTTCTTTCTATTAATTTTGAGTTTGTTTCATTGTTGTTTTTCTAGGCCCTTGAGATGCACTAATAGCTCAGATATTTGGTACCTTTCCAACTTATTTTTTATAAAGCTTTTTAAAAATTTCTATTTTTGTACAAATTTTATGTATTTCAAATATACAGATTTATTAACATAGTGTCACTTTGCCCCCAACCTCCCTCCCATCCATGCTCCAACCCTTCCTCTTCCTCTCTTTTACATTCCCACTCTTAATTTTACAAAGATTTATTTTCAGTTCACTTAATGGTCAAATAACTAACCCTACACTAAGTAAAGGGTTCAACAAATAGTAGGAAGAAAAAAAAATCACTGTTCCTCAATGGAAGAGATAAGGGCTGTAAACAATCATTGATTCTCAAGATGTCTACTTCATTCTAATACATTATATTTCATGCACTCTACTAGTTACCTCACGTCCAGGAAAACATATGATATCTGCCTTTTTGTGACTGGCTTATTTCACTAAGTATAATGGTTTCCAGGTATGTTCATTTTGTTGCAAAAGAAAGGATTTCATTTTTTAGAGCTGAGTAGTACTCCATAGTGTGTGTGTATATGTGTGTGTGTGTGTGTATACCAAAAGTCAACAGTTGATGGGCATCTGGGTTGATTCCATATCTTAGCTATTGTGAATTGAGCTGCAATGGACATGGGGTTCAGATTGATCTTTTGTATGCTGATTTTTTTTGGTTTGGGTAAATTTCCAGGAATAGTATGGTTGGATCATATGATACATCTATATTCTGATTTCTGAGGTATCTCCACACAGCCTTCCACAGTGGCTGAACCAGTTTACATTTGCACCACAGTGGATTAGGGTACCTTTTCCCCCACATCCTTGCCAGCATTTTCAGTTTATGGATTTCTGTATGAGAGCCATCCTAACTGGGGTGAGGGGAAACCTCATTGTGGTTTTGATTTGTATTTCCTTTATGGCTAATGTTACTGAGTATTTTTTCAAGTGTCTGTTGGCCATTTTGAATTTCATTTCTTGAAAAATGCTTGTTCAAGCCCTTTGCCCATTTCTTAACTGGATTGTTCTGTTGTTTTTGAATTTCTTGAGTGCTTTATAGAATCTTGTTATTAACCCTTTATCAGTTATGTGATTTACAAATATTCACTTGCATTCTGTCAGTTGCCTCTTAACTTTGCCAAGTGTTTCTTTTGTGGTACAGAAGCTTTTTTTTTAATTACAGGTCAATAAAGATTGTATAGATTTTGTCAGTAGTAGTGTTCATCTCTGAGACTTACCACTTATAGGTCAGAAATAATAGTACCATTACCCATAAAGTGTTGGTTCCATTTATGTTTTTCCTCTTTTTTCCTGGATGGCAGGCTGGGGGTTCTAGAATATAACCTCTTCTAAACTCAATTCTGGTTTTCATTGTTGCAAACATCTAAATCTTGCTTCACTCGCCCCAAATGCCTTATGTTTTACCTGCCTGTATGAACCTGTTCCTATGTCTCATCCCCATTATTTTTAGGACTGGAATAAGGGATTTGTGTTCATCAATGGACATAACCTTGGGAGGTATTGGAATATTGGACCTCAGAAAACACTTTATCTTCCTGGTGTTTGGCTTCATCCAGGAGATAATGAGGTGAGTCAGCTGAACCTGTTTCTTGTGGTCCATACATTTTCAGATTGACCTCCATTGCCAAAATAGGGATCTCAGTGTATTTCTCATCATGTAATAAATAGACTTAGCCTTTCTTACCGTCAATCTTTCTTTTCTACCCAGATTATACTGTTTGAGAAGATGGAGAGTGGTTCATCAATACAATTTAAAGACAAGCCTCAGCTGTGAGACTGTGTTTCAACACATTTCTTGCATAGTTAGAATTTATCTATCAGCAGTAGTTTTTTAGGAAGAAGACTGATGTTAGGAATATCCAGTTAGCACTGTGTATAAAAGTAACAATATTAAAGTGTCCTATAAATCAATGAGGTTTTGAATGTATTTTATAATGTGCCCATGTGCTGCCTATTTTTAGACTTAAAAGGCTTCAATTCTCCAATGACTGGGTTTCCTAGTTAACATTTATTACTTTTCATGTACTTATTCTCTAATAAAATGTGCTTTCATGTTAGCTATGAATAAGATAAGATAAAATTTTTTTCTGCTTCTTCATCCACAACTGGGCAAATGGTAAGGGTCTCTAGACCATTGGAGAGTTAGGATACTACTCTCCTCACACAAAAGAGAGTATTGAATTTCAATAGCGTGACTGGCAAATGCCTGGTGTGTGTGTGTGTATGTGTGTGTGTGTGTGTGTGTGTGTGTTGTGTAAGAGCAGAGAGGGAAAGTGAAACGGACAATGAACAGTGTCCCTAGGGATTTCTTTGCATTATCTTCAAAGTTACCTGATGTAAAAGTCACCAGAGAAGGAAATGAAAATCGGTTCTTTGTTTCAGACACATACACAGCTAAGGCCAGCATGCAACCCCCTGTGTCATTTGACTCCTTGGCTATCAGGGTATAGTCAAGGCTGCTCCTGAGAGTTGGCAGATATTTGTGATATTAATCACACTTTTATCAATGACAAACCATTCTCAATTTAGCACCATCAGAAGCTAGAAATATTTTTGGGTTTATGTCTCTCAGAAGAATAATGAGGCAAGAGATAACCAGTCTTGGGGAAACAGTAAGAAACATGTAGAAAATATCAGAAAAACCTGTTGTTTAGTTGCAGAAACTTAAGTTCGTTGTTTTACTGGCTTAAAAATGACAGTTCAGGATCCAACATAGTGGCACAGTGGATTCAAACTCCACCTGCAGCACCAGCATCCTATATGAGTTCTGGATCAAGTCCTGGCTGCTCCACTTCAATCCAGCTCCCTACTAATGGTCATGGGAAAGCAGCAGAAGGCCTGAGGGCTTGGACCACTGCCACTTCATGGAAGACCTGGATCCAGTTATAGGTTTGTGGCCCAGCCCTGGCCATTGCAGCCATTTATGGGATAAACTAGTGGGTAGAAGATCTCTCTGAATGCCTCCTTTTCTCTCTGAAAATATTTATACAAATATTTATTTGTATTTCAAATAAATAAATAAATCTGTCTTTCAAAAAATGCCAGTTTATAAAGCAGCTAGCTCGAAGACAACCTTCCTGTTTGCATTAAATGTTAACCAGCCCAGACCAGAAAATTCAAACACAAATGGCTAAACCCAGGGAGGAGACAACTGGATCTAATCTTGGAAAACACACATTGACAAGGATATTACACGAAGAATACAAAAATGCTTTACCAATAGCCAGATGTGGAACCCTGTCAGGAATCTCCTCAGGAACACCTGTGGGAGTGGCATGACAGCCACTGCAGCCATGAACCCTGTCCAAAGTTCCCAGTTCCCAGCAAGATCTCTCGAGGATGTCTGTTCTACAACCATGACATCTAGCAAAAGTCTCTCTGGTAATGACTCTTTTCCATCACGAAAATCTGCATATTGTTTCTCAGTTTGAAAAATCATTAGTGCTCTCTGAGGAGATTCTGATCTGAGTCTTTTTAGACTCTGTGTTGAGTTCCTTCCAGAGACGCACTTTTGCTCACCTGTGGAGTGTACTTTGCTTGCTGCAATAAATCTTTCTGCCTATACTTGCTGCCTCTGTGAGCCTCATTAAATTTATTGTCTGAGATCCAAGGAACCTGTCTTCCACACCTACAACATCAGGTCATATGTACTACTGCTTCCTCATTGTCTTTTTTTTTTTTTTAGACAGTGAGAGAGACAGAGAGAAAGGTTTTCCTTCCATTGGTTCACCCCCCAAATGGCCACTATGGCTGGCGTGCTGCGCCGATCCGAAGCCAGGAGCCAGATGTTTCCTCCTGGTCTCCCATGCATGTGCAGGGCCCAAGGACTTGGGCCATCCTCCACTGCCTTCCTGGGCCACAGCAAAGGGCTGGAGTGGAAGAGGAGCAACCTGGACAGAATCTGGCGCCCTGACCGGGACTAGAACCCAGGGTGCCGGCGCTGCAGGTGGAGGATTAGCCTAGTGAGCTGGGGCACAGGCCTCCTCATTGTCTTTTAAAGTAATTTACACATAATAGCCAATGGTAAAATGACAATTGGGGCTTAAATTTACCTGTAGGAGAAGCATCTCAGATATCAGCACACTGCTGATCATTTGATGAAACTATCCCTCTGTTTCCTATAGACTTTTTCAGTTTATTTCCTGTTCTACTCTCATATATATATATATATATATATAGACAGGCAGAGTTAGACAGTGAGAGAGAGAGAGACTGAGAGAAAGGTCTTCCTTTTTCCGTTGGTTCACCGGGGCACCAGGTCCAATGGAACTCCTCAGGGCCAGCCTGGGGAACTTGGGGCCAAGCGGGATGATGAATGTCAGCAGCAAAGGAATCACACCAGAGCCAGGAGATCAGTCAACGCCCAGGGCGCAGCCGGGTTCTCAACTTTATAGACACAGAAAGGGGGCTGTCCAGGGCACAAGGGAACTGAGCCAACCAGTGGAAAAGTAAGGCAGGACGCGAGCCGGGCACGCCCTCAAGGGCGTATCACAGCCGAGAGGACACATACTGTTCATGAATACGGAAGTCTCTTGTCAGGCTAGGTACCTCCCCCGGGGGCCATATTGGATTGTTGGAAACGCTGAGTCACTGGGATGTGGAAGTGCGACAAACTCGAGTAAAGGCTTAGCAGCCTTGTCAAGCGAAGGCTTAGCAACTTTGTTTCCTTTTCGGTCGGAGCCCCCCACATCAAGTGGCCACTACGGCCAGTGCATTGCAGCTGGCGCTCTGCGCCAATCCGAAGCCAGGTGCCAGGTGCTCCTCCTGGTCTCCCATGCGGGTGCAGGGCCCAAGGACCTGGGCCATCTTCCACTGCCTTCCCGGGCCACAGCAGAGAGCTGGAGTGGAAGAGGAGCAACCAGGACAGAATCCGGCTCCCCAACTGGGACTAGAACCCGGTGTGCCGGCGCCGCAGGCAGAGGACTAGCCTATTGAGTCATGGCGCTGGCCTACTCTCATATTTTCTTAAAGGAAATTTCTTTTCTTTCCATTTAGTCAATCCAAATTTATTGCAATGAGAGCTATTTGCTGGAATTTATATTATATATAACTTACATCCAATGACTTGACACAATCTATGTAATTTTTGTGTGGTATAAAATGCAGCCATATTGACCCAACAACAACCTGGAATCTTTTAAATTCTTTCCAGAGAGTCTGATTTCCATACTTTCAATACTGCTACACAGGTTGGAGGGATGCTTAGAAGAAAAGGATAGGGGATTTAAATATCTTTTAATAGTATCTTTTTCCTCCTGTCTTTTGGAAATGTTATACCCTTTGAGAGGCTTCACTGTGTCTAGATATACCTCAAAATTGGGTGCTTTGTTTAGTGTTGTGAAGCCAACAATGAAACCAAAGCTGATCATGAACAACATATCATTGATAAATGGCCAAAGAATGGAGAAGCAGTATCCTAGCTCATAAACCAGCTTCTCCAGCTGAGGGCCAAGGAGTCATAAACAGAACACAGCAAGAATGAGAAGAAATTTGTTAATATGTGGAAGGAGTGTTCGCAGTTTTTCTGGGTGTAGGGAAGCTTCTTGGGCAATCAGGTAGCCTATGCCTTCTTGTCCTTTTGTGATCTCATCCAGTGAATGCCAACTGTCATGGTGCTGCTGGGAGTGTCACTTGACATGGAAATTAGATGATAATAAAATTTGAGAACTTCTAAAGGTGATTCAAATAATTATAATGCATCAGGCTGGTCCTGGCCTTTAGCCTGATGAATACTTGTTGATTGCAAGGCATCCTCTTCTGAAAGAGAAACAAGATTGGTGTGAAAACTTAACTATGCTGTGTGTCCATTGCCCTAGGTAACAGATATATTAAACCAGACTGAGGGTTGGAATTAAGGGCTAGGCAGAAGAAAGTCTCATCCATCCTAATCTTCAGCTTTTCTAGGAGCCAGTAATCAGAGTCTGGCTGTATCTGATGTAGGCAGGGAAGTAACAAGGGGGCGTTGAGGACTGCACCACCCAAATTCCACCCCTTCCTTGCAAATCCATTATGGCTGAAGACTCAGCACACTACTCCTCATCAGGCATATGAGCTTCATACACAACTTGCAGCACGCACCATGAGAATGCTAGATTCTAATACGTGGTCTGCAGGTACACATGCACCAGAAGCCATGGCACTCCTAGAGATCATTCGGTGCACTTCAGTCCTGTGCCAAACTCTGTTTCCTTTGAATATTTAATTAGGCACTGATCTGGGCAGCCCCACTGTCCTATCAAAGGAAGACTATAAATCTTGTAAATTGCAGCACTCATTTTCTCCTGAGATTGCTCACACTCATCTCTGAGTGTATGTCTTCCTTTTGTTTTGGCTTCCCTACTTCCTTTTATCTAGTTCTCCTCCTTGAGTTCTTTCACCTGTGGAGGCAAAGTGCCTATGGTAAGTCTAGCAAGGGGTCTCTCTCTCTCCACCTGCAATCCCCCGCCCCCCGGCATGTTCTGTTCACTCACACTCTTCATAGACTTGCCACTCAGTTCTGGCATCTTGCTGGTTTGTGACATTTTGCCTTTGCCTGGTTCCATCTCATGTTGGAAATGAAGTGTGTGATGATCATCACTTGTTTATCTACTTACATTCTCTCCTGGGTATTTATAACATTTTTATGATTACCAAAAAATGACTTTTTGGACCCCAATCCTGGTGGTGGTTCCATTGAAATCCCTTTGGGGGAATTTGAAAGGCATAAACTCAAAGTCAGGGCTTGAGCAGTTGGGTGACTGGTGGTACTAATAACAGAATATAAAGAATGGTTGAGAAAAACAGGTGTAGAGGGGAATGTTGAGTTCCCAAGGAGCAAGTCAATGTTATTTTACAAAAAATTTAGAAGTTATTTATCAAAGATTTACATAAGTCATATGAACTGAAAGGCATTTGGGCTAATTTCTTTTTTTTTTTTAAGATTTATTTTATTTATTTGAAAGACAGAGTTACAGTGTGAGGTAGAGACAGAGAGAGAGGTCTTCCATCCACTGGTTCACTCCCCAGATGGCCGCAATGGCCAGAGCTGTGCCGATCTGAAGCCAGGAGCCAGGAGCTTCCACCGGTTCTCCCACGTGGGTGCAGTTGGGCTAATTTCATAGGTTTAATTTATATGAGCCGGCGCCGTGGCTCAATAGGCTAATCCTCCACCTTGCGGCGCCGGCACACCGGGTTCTAGTCCCGGTTGGGGCGCCGGATTCTGTCCCGGTTGCCCCTCTTCCAGGCCAGCTCTCTGCTATGGCCAGGGAGTGCAGTGGAGGATGGCCCAGGTGCTTGGGCCCTGCACCCCATGGGAGACCAGGAAAAGCACCTGGCTCCTGGCTCCTGCCAGGATCAGCGCGGTGCGCCGGCTGCAGCGGCGGCCATTGGAGGGTGAACCAGCGGCAAAAGGAAGACCTTTCTCTCTCTGTCTCTCTCTCTCACTGTCCACTCTGCCTGTCAAAAAAAAAAAAAAAAAAAAAAAAAAAATTTATGTGAGTACTCGCTTATCAGTCAATTAAACAGAGCTCCTGAGGGATTTCTTTTACTATGGGACAAAATATTCAATATGCATTAACATATAAGACATACCTAGTATATATTATGAAACAAAAAACAAAATAGTTTCTGTTACAGGCTGTTGCATATTTCTTGTGATTCCTGTTCTGCACATCAACTGTACCAATAGGTTTACACTGGGTAATTCACAGGGAATTACAATGATTTCAGAAGATCACTGGGAGCCTCTGGGAGACTCCATTCTTTAAAATTCAAAAATGCATAGCCTTCTCATTCCACCACAAATGCATATGGAGGAAATGCAGTGTTCCAGTCTTTCCATGGGTTTGTTGGAGAAGAACTGCCCCTCACAACTAGTTGTAACTGTTTCTATAGAATCCCCAAACCTGGGTCTGTTCAGCAGATGCACAGAAAACCTAACACTGATATTTGGGGGTGGGGAGGAGTGGATAGATGTAGGTATTTATTGCAAAGTCTAGAGCAAGGAACTGGGTAGTTATTGCTTAATTCCAAGGTTTCCAAAGAAGTTAGGGGTGTAGGTGCTTACACATTGAAATTGGGGCTAAGAGCCATAGGTTAAGCTCATTTCTAATTTCCTGGGTGGTCAGTAGTGCTCATGGCCTTTCTTTGAATGTTTAGTGATGCCTTGCTCCTTGGTGAATGTTTATTATGACCGATCGGGCTTCAGATATTCTGTGTGTTACATGTAAGTGGCAGTAACTTTACGCTCCAAACCTGGAATTTACCTTCCTGGATCTGGAATTCCATTGAACAAACCCCTCACGACAATATTGACCATAATGGTTTTATCTATTAGAGAAGTAATTGATTTCTTGAGTCTGGTGAAACGTTGGGCAAGCTGTATCACTCCCTCAACTCAATTCAGTGCATTCCTTTTGATAAAGAATAGGCAGCTGAGAGGCTGCGTACTGCCTTTACATTATGGGTGTTCTCTCTTAATCTCTTCTATTTCTTTTATTCCTCAACTCTGAAGAAATAGGGACATTGACTGCTATTTATGGGGGCAAAATGTAGTTTTTCAGGAATACGCGAAAGGATGTTGTCAAGAAAGTTTTTAGTCCCAAGCTTAGCTGTGAAGATCCTCTGCTTTGTGATAGTTTGGCAGAGCCAATTTCCACACAGCTATATCTTGTAGATGAATAATTCTTCCACAGCAGCAATAAAGAAAGATACTAGCATCCCTTTACCTATAAAGAAAACCACAAGAATTAGTGATTTTTTTGCCAGAAAATTGTACGTCCCAAACCAAGGGTAGAGACATTAAGACAGTATGGAATTGGACATAGCATTAATACGGGTGTGCAGCACTTTCACTTTAAGACATGTTGAATGTAATTTGTCAGTGCCTTAATGAACAAAATCACATTTTATAATGCTAGCTCCAGAACAAATACAGATAGCAAGTGATCGTGCCAGTGAAAGACATACATTCTATCTATGAAGCAACTTTGGGAAATCGTAGACTTTTTTTTCATATTCCTTGAATCCAATGGAGGGGCAAAATATATCTTCCCTCTCTGTCCCAGGAAAAACGAAGGCCACCAAAATTTCTCTTTTTCATATTTAGTGTGAGTGCTTTCTCTCTCTTTTTTTTTCAAATATTTATTTATTTGAAAGACAGAGTTACACAGAGATAGAAGGAGAGGCAGAGAGAAAGAGAGGTCTTCCATCCACTGGTTCACTCCCAGTTGGCTGCAAAGGCTGAGCTGGGCCAACCTGAAGCCAGGAGCCAGGAGCTTCTTCCAGGTCTCCCACATGGGTGCAGGGGTCCAAGGACTCAGGCCATATCAGAGAGCTGGATGGAAAGTGGAGCAGCTGGGTCTTGAACCGGTGCCATATGGGATTCTGGCACTACAGATGGTGGCTTAACCCACTATGCCACAGTGCTGGCCCCACTTACTCTCTTAATATCCCTAAGGCCTAAAGCCTGGTGAGGGTTTTGAATTCAGCCTTCAAGTCCAAGATATGGATTGCAATGCCATTGCTACCAAATATTCCTGTATATCCAACCTTGTTTTTTTTTTTTTTTGCTTGTGAAGTTGTTCTCATCCATCAATGTTTTAGATTGCAGTCCTAAGGGGACATTGGTCAGATCCAGCCTGTGGGATGCCTTGCTAATAATGTATAATGTATAATGTATAGATTTCCCAGAGGCACCTTGGGGAAATGTGACTGAATTAAAAGATGAAACAGTTTTAGAGTAGCAATTGAGTTATCAAGTAATATGGCTCATTATCTGCTAAATATCCTTAAGTGAGCCGGTAACACCCAGTTTACAGCACACACACATTGAGCTGCGTGCATGTGGTAGGCTGCCCACAGTGAACTACTCTGTCTCCTGGAGTACATCACAAGTAGGTATTATTGCCAGACAAATCAGCCAACCCTGGGTGGCAGTGACCAGATGTGACAGCATCAGTCATTTCATTTTTCCCAATTTTTGAATCATTATACCCAGTCCTAATCCTTGCTTCTCAGCACTTCACTGTGGGTGCTGTATATAGATTTTAGCATTAAGGTGAGAATGCCAGTATTGTGCCTAGTTGGCTGTTCTATTTTGAATTGTGGGCACTCTCTAGAGGATATAATTCTAGCAGAGTCCTGAGACAGCTACTATTAGACAATCATGCTTAAGAACCCCCTCTACTTCTTGTTGACATCAATGACTCCATCTTGACTTTTATTCACTCCTTGTGATCATGATCTATTTTCAAAATTACAGCTGATTGATCGATCATGCTCTATTTGTCCCTGATTGCTTGGTTAATTTGACTGCATTGTTGATCCAGTACCACATTAGTAGAGAAGCATTTGGTACCCAGGAGTCTGTCAATATCCTTTCAGTCACATTGGAGAAACAAAGTGGTTTCAGAAGGACTGTTCCTTAGGCTAAATTTACTGGGAGTCTATTATTAACCCTAGGTAGATCTGTTCTGTAGATAGAAGTCATCATCCCAAAGTGCCAAGCCAGCATCATCTTCTTGGGAGGTGTACTTCTGTAGGATTCTCACAGGGCTCAAGAGAAAATCATATAACAAAGCACAAAATATAACAAGTTAATTTTTCCTTTAAAAAGCAATGAGCAGATTTACAAGCTAATAATAGACATACTATGATTGACTATTCACATAAATACAACAGGGAAGATTGACTAATCAGAGCCAGTAAACCCCCAATGTTTATATGATTAAAAACAATGAAAAATAGGACTGATTATTTTCATTAAGTACATACATTGTCTCAGATTTAGAAACTCTTAAAGTGAAAGAAATAAAAGGCAGAGTTCACTTTTTAAAAAATATAGTGTCTAATCTTTTGAAGTTTTAGGACATACTAAAAAGATTTTTCTCACATCCTTTGGGGGAGTGGTCAGGGTCTCTGTTATCTTCCTGATAACATGAGTTAATAAATTATCCTATTAATCACTGAGGAAAAATCAGGAAATTATCTTGTCTGGCAGTTAAGAACTATCTTTCTGTAGCTGATGTCAGCGCCTGCTGCTTGTAGTGATTTAGAGTACTTTCTTTTTCTTTTTCTTTCTTTCTTTCTTTCTTTCTTTCTTTTTTTTTTTGACAGGCAGAGTTAGACAGTGAGAGAGAAAGAGACAGAGAGAAAGGTCTTCCTTCCATTGGTTCACCCCCCAAATGGCTGCTATGGCCAGCACTAGGCCGATCCAAAGCCAGGAGCCAGATGCTTCCTCCTGGTCTCCCATGCGGGTGCAGGGCCCAAGGACCTGAGCCATCCTCCACTGCCTTCCCAGGCCACAGCAGAGAGCTGGACTGGAAGAGGAGCAACCGGGACAAAACCAGCGCTCCGACTGGGACTAGAACCTGGTGTGCCGGCGCCACAGACAGAAGATTAACCTAGTGAGCCGTGGCACCGGCTAGAGTACTTTCTTGTTTCCTATCTCTCTGCCTGTCTTTTCTTCTTCCTAACTCCTCACACTCTAACAGCTTGAGTGGGTCCAGTGTGCTGCTATGAAAAGTTAGCAGTAGGGTGTGTGACATCAAGTGTGACAGCCCCTTCCTAAATGGCTCACTGAAAATGGCTCACTTTTGTCACCAAAAGTCCAGTCCTTGTCAATGGTGCCAAAATAGAACAACAAAGAACAAGTTTGATGATAAAGAAAATATCAAGTTTATTCTATCAGTAGAATGAGGATTTAGTAGATGAATGTCTAAAAAACTACCATCCTCCTGAGTTATAACCTTCCAGGAAGTTTAAGGAGCTTAAAAAAGATGCTGTGCTTGGGAGGACATAACTAATAACACATTAAGAATTAGAGAAATGGGCAGAAATAGGAGAAGAAGGAAATAAACACTGAAACTCACTGTAGTTCCAATAACAGCAATTTTTATATTAAATCTCTAACATTATTGTAGTTTCTTGAGACATACTGAAAGAGAACTGAAAGTCTGATCTTAACATTGGCAGAACAGAACAGCACATTCTGCATGGACAATTAGCTACAAAACATCATTTGGCAGGCATCCGCAAGAGGAAATGCATTATGTTCAGAGATTCCAGTGTTTCATTAACCATAATGACGTCTTTGTCCCCTGAAGTCTCTGACTAGTAAGGTTTATTGTGCCCCTGGTCAAATGCATCCTATTACACCCTGAAACAAAAAGACAGCATGTTACATTCCCAGGGGTGGATGTGCACATAAGTCCAGATAAGAAACACCAGGATACCTGTAGCTGGGCAAAATGTGGGCAATGCTGTTGTTGTGGTGTCCTTGGGAATGACTGAGCAAACTGTGTTAGTAAATTTAGGAATGACTAGTGGGAATAATTCCTGTGGACTTCGAGGTGTGGATACTTACCTTACTTGCCTGGTACTTGGCCCTGGAGTGATAATGCATAGGAAACATTGGCCCTGAGTGTGAGCCTGACGGGGGTGGTCTGTGTGGGCCTTGGGTTGGTTGATTTGTGTGTGAAATGTGCACTTGATGTTGAGTCCTTTACTACTTCAAGGATCTGGCCAGTATTGCTATGACAGTCTTCCCAGAGTCAGCAAGAGCCCAGAAGTCACAGCACCAGAATTACAGAAAATAAATGGGAATGATCAATAAAGGCAGCTTTTGTGTTCTGGGTCTACTATTTGGGCTACTTTAAGAAATTCTCAAATGCCCCAAGACCCTCTGCACGTATTTATGATATTAAAATTGGGAATTTTTATTCAAAATATTAACAAATTGTATTTCTTACTTCTCTGATTTATGGTGAAAATTCATGCCAAGTCACTGATGTTGAAGTGCAGCCCCTATCCTCAAAGCCTTTGATGTAGACTTTATCAGACCCCAGCATCTCTTCCTCAGCTTGCAGCTCCTTGGTATTTTCTTTGATGGTTACAAACCACTGCTTTGTTACAGACTAACTCACTACATTAAGGGAGTAGTACAAGGGTAAGACCTGGAGTCATAAGATTCCAAGTCCCCAAGGACTCAGGGAACATCAATAATTAACGTTTCAATGCTAGCTTTTATCTGCTTTTAAATTTTTTTTTAAAAATTTATTTATGTAAATGTAACAAATTTCCTATGTAAGTTTTTAAAAAATATTTATTTATTTATTTGAAAGGTAGAATCACAGAGAGACAGAGGCAGAGAGAAAGAGAGAGGTCTTCCATCCACTGGTTCACACCCCAAGTGGCCACAATGGCCAGAGCTGGGCCAATCCAAAGCCAGGAGCCAGGAGCCTCTTCTGGATCTCCCACGTGAGTGCAGGCGCCCAAACACTTGGACCATCTTCTTCTGCTTTCCCAGAGAGCTGGATTGGAAGTGGAGCAGACAGGACTTGAACTGGTACCCATATGGAATGCCAGCACTGCAGGAGGCAGCTTTACCCACTATGTCACAGCTCCGGACCCATATATAAGTTTTAAGAGCAAAATGATACTTCCCAATCTACCCCCTACTTCCCTTCCTCCTTCTTGTTAACTTTACTGGAATTTGCTAGCATTGAACAAAGTAGCAGCAAATCAGCTAGCAGACAACCCATCTTTGCTATTTTAAAAGAAACACACCGAGGCTGGCATCCTGGAGTAGCAGGTAAAGCCACTCCCTGTGATGCCACCATCCCATATGGGCACTTGTTACATTTCTGGCTGCTCCACTTCCCATCCAGCTCCCTGCTAATGGCCTGGGAAAAGCAGGGGAAGATGACTCAAGTGCTTGGGTCTCTGCCACCCATGTGTTAGTGGCGGCCATCTGGGGAGTGAACCAGCTGATGGAAGATTTATATTCTCTCTCTCTCTCTCTCTCTCTTTCTCTCTCTCTCTCTCTGTCTCCTCGTCACTCTTTCTGTAACTCTGGCTTTCAAAATAAATAAGTAAATCTGAAACAAACATCTCAATGAATCTACTCTCTTTGGTCAAGAATGGGGAAGTGTCAGGTCTTGGACAAGGATGCAGTGGTAACGTCTACCCTTCTCAGCTCCTTCTGCCTCACTCGTTGTTCTCCCTGAGCCCTGGAGCTCACACCATCGCTGTCCTCAGAGACACATGGGCAGACAGACAGTGCCAATAGCCCAGCTGTAGCCCCTGCTGCCACACCCACAGCCCTGGATGCATGCAGCCTTCTCTATTTCTCTCTTTCCCCCCAAAACTGTCTCCTCTTTCTCTCTCTGTAACTCTACCTTTCAAATAAATAAGTCTAAAACATAATAGAAACACACTGACTTCTTTCACTGACAAATCACCCAAGGGCAAGAGCTTATCTGGCACTGCTCAACTCCATATTTATGAAGCTCTGCCTGTAATCTCTGAAAAACCTCAGGAATTGAGTGATAGTTACATGACTCCTCGCTATTATTTTCTTCCAGCATGCCAATAGCCATAATTACCTTGCTGGGCAATGGACTAGAGGACTCAGTTTGGGAAAATCCTATTGATATGGGATACACAAGGTGTCATGATGTTTCCTGGGAGTCTTTTGGTAGGTATGGTTGACTCATACATTGGACATCACACAGTAAATGAAATGAGGTTCACACATACAGTAAGTATAAGCAGCAAAGATATATTAATGCAACAAAGTATACTTCACGAAGTGAATGGGAGGGGACCAAGTAAGACAATTTTAGTTTCAGTGAGGAAAAGAGGAAGTTCAGGGGGTTTTAAAGCATTTTCCTGAATTTTCCTCTTTCTTGCCTACTTTCTTGCTTGCCTCAGTTTCTCTGTCTTGCAGCTTTGGGCTTCTAATTCCACCCCATCTATGGCCACTCAATAGTCACTTTCCCATGATGCACCTGTGTCTCCTCCAACATGAGGTTGTAATAATGAATAACTGTATGTTGAATTCCACAGAGATGCCATAAAGACCTTCCCAGAGATCAGCACACACACTGAGCCCTACCCATACTCTATCCCATTTGTATAGTCAATTAAGGCACTGCCAAATAAAGGGGACAGCCAAACCAGGATGCATGTGTTTTCTCCTCATGGCAGGCGTCTCCTCATGGGTCTGTTTATATTCAGTTTTGAATGTGTACTCCCGTTGAATAAGTCCCCCTCCAACTCTTGCACTCTATCTATGTCTCTGAATTCTTATCTCTTGGGGAGGCAAGAACCTGGAATGAACACAGTTGGAGGCACTGTCTCCACTACACTGTAGCAGTGTCTTTTAGATTCAGTGAAGGTGTAGGTTTAGATTATTTGCTGTCATTTCCTTGATGAGTTGGGACATTTTCTGACAGGATTAGGAGAAATATGCTACTTTTATCCCATCATTTAAATAACAGAATTATCATTTATTCCATTTTATTAATCTTACTTTTGTACTTCCATTTTTTCTTTTAGCATTTAGATTCAATTCAACATACCTTGGTTTCTAGAATCTGTGAGGGCTGGGAGGGCAAAAGGTTTTTGAATAAAATTATAGGAAATTCTGAATGTAGTTCATTAATTGAGTTGTCAACAGGGGAAATGGGGTGAAGATGTGTGGGAATTTTTTGTATTACTATTTCATAATTTTTGTGTGGTAACATTGAAAGTATTCTGAAATAAAATGTTAAAGAAAGTCCATTATCATGAGATAATTATATTAAGGAGAGTGGCATGTGTTGTGGGGAACACTATTAATGTCTTCCAAGTCCACTGTCATTCTCTGCATTCCACTGAACTTTTGGACAGATTAAATGGGGCTATTGTAAGGATTCTGGTCACATGGATTATACAGGCTCTCTCTAGTTCCTTAATTATGGCTGTCATTTCTTTGAAGCCCCTTCAGCAAGCTCTATTGCTGATGGAGTAGTAACAGTTCAGGGCTCGATTTATCATGCACCAATATACATGGAAATCTCTGGTATTGGTGTCTAAATTTTGTATGGTATACAACCCCAGATGCATTGAGGATATGTATACCAGAAATATCCAAGGAGGCTTTTCTGATTGGCAAATACAAAACCACCAGTTCTACTCTAAGGGTTTGGCCACTATATCCATCTGTTGCTCATGTATTTCCCCACAACTGATTTGGATTTTTGTAAATTGGAATAATTCCAAACTGTATCTACTACAGAAAACAGAGATTGTTTATCTGGGACCAGTGAATAGTGTCACATGTGGCCCATTGCCACTTTCAATGGTCTGCCCGAAGGGGATACACTGGACACTGTCCTCAGCCAGGGACATCAGAAGAATCCACCCCAGTCCCTCACTCTAACAGTAGGAGCATAAGGAGGACCTGAATGCCCTTGATCCTTTGAACTATTTGTCCTTAGGAGGGACCTTACACAACGAAACACAAGATCCTGCCATAGCTGTTTCCAGAACAACCTCATATACCCTTTTCAAATTTCTCACTTCGTTGTTTATCCTACTTTTTATTTTGACAGGCAGAGTGGACAGAGAGACAGAGAAACAGAGAGAAAGGTCTTCCTTTACTGTTGGTTCACCCTCCAATGGCCACTGCGGCCAGTGCACCATGCTGATCCGAAGCCAGGAGCCAGGTGCTTCTCCTGGTCTCCCATGCAGGTGCAGGGCCCAAGGACCTGGGCCATCCTCCACTGCACTCCCAGGCCACAGCAGAGAGCTGGCCTGGAAGAGGGGCAACCGGGACAAAATCTGGTGCCCCAACCGGGACTAGAACCCGGTGTACTGGCGCCGCAGGCAGAGGATTAGCCTATTGAGCCGCGGCACCGGCCTATCCTACTTTTTATTTGCACTGTGTCATGGCTTCTCAGTCTCACCAAAGTCAGAAATCATTGATGCCAGCATCAGGCTGAGGCCATTTACAAACTTAATTCTAATCAAGATGCTGAGGCTAACTGGATAATGTGCTCTTTCATTTCTACCATAAAGAGTTCTTCATGGGGGCCATGAAAATTGAGAAATAGATTTCATGTCTCATTCCAAATTCTCCCCACATCAAATCTTGTACCTCTTCCTTAGATGTCCATCTTTAACGCCGGGAGGTAAAATCACCCTTGTTTGGTCAAGTTAGGTATCTGACAGCCTGATCCCAGTCTGTCAGGCTGACTAGAAAGCGTCAGTTCTCCCTGAATGCAATAGCTTATTCAGGGTGGGCTGAGTAGTGCACGACTCTGATTTTGACATCTCTGTGGTATCTAGCATGCTTCCATCACATGTAGTGTCCTCCAGCTGCAGTAACCATGCAGAGATGCTAACCCTGCCTTTTTGTTTAAAGTGGCTACTCTGATCTAAATTCCCTCCTAGTAATCTTTTGGCTTCTCAGAGTATCTTCTCAATCATTAGGTGATGTGGTAGCCTACATCTTGGTTTAAATAAGAGGCTCATCTGCTAAACCAGGTAGTTTCTCAATCGTCCTTCTCCACTCTCTGTGAGACTAAAGTTCCTTTCTCATAGAAGTCACATTCTTGTGGATTCCACCATGCGGGGCACCAGTGTCCTCCAGCTATTACAGTCCAGGCATGGAAATGGGAAATACAATTTTCTTACACCTACACAGCCCAACAGACCATAACATCTAAATTTCCCTTCTGTTTTTGGATTTTATGCATCACTAGGACAGAATTGACAGGGCATGCTTGTCCTTGTGCTCAGTGCCACTTGCATATTCTGCAGCTTTCCACCAGCTTGAAGCACCCAATCTATGCTCTTCCTTAGGGCAGGTAGCAATGGAACTGCCACAGCGCAACAGCAGCTGTGCTGCCCTTCTGTTTTCCTTCCCCATGGATCCTGGCTTCTGTAATGAACTCTAACAGACTTCTTGCTGTTTTCCAGGTGTCCCTAAATTATGTACCAAATCCCCCTACGCTGAGGTTTGCAGATCAACCTAAGCACACACTCCATGTGCTTTCCCCCATCATATTCTTTTGCAGATACATTTTAAGACTTTGTCTCCTGACTTCTCGGTTGTCTGAGTGTTTCTGGGATATATAATTGTCTCCAAACTGAGAAGGAACACTGATACCAAAGGAGAAATCCCCATACAAGTGTTGTCTTTGGGCAGCTTACCGATGGCATTCCAGTCTAAGATGATAGACATTCTAGTTAGAAGCTGAGGTTATGCAGGAAAAAGGTTTTATACACTTTACTGATTCAATAGAATGATGGACAGGCGGTTGATTTACAACAGTCCTTCATGTATGATCCAGGAGACAGCACTTCATGCATCCGGGTTATCTTCCTGACCTTTTCAGGAAGACTTGTGGTAGCAGTCAAGTTTCATGTACTGAAATAACAGTGGGGAGAAAAAAGAATGTGGGCTGAAAGGGTATTTCAAAATCTGAAAATCAGTGGCTATCCAGTCACATACTTCCCCAAGAGGACAGACAAAAATATGTTCACTCAAATCTACTTAAATGTTCAAAGCAGCATTATGCTAGGAAAAAGTAGAAAGAAACCAAGTGTGCATTAGCTGACAAAAGGATAATAGAAAGTGGCATATCCTCACAATGGACTATTATGTGGCTATAAGAAGGACTGGAGCATGGATACATGCTTCAGTAAGAGTGACCTTGGAAAATATGATGCTCCGTGAAGAAGATAGTCACACACCCCCAACATTGTGCAATTTCATTCTTGTGAAAAATTCCAAATAGTGAAATCTATACAACCAGAAAGCAAACTTGGTTACCAGGGACTGTAAGGATGATGAAAGGACCAGTGGCCACCAATGGCAAACGGATTCATCCAGGGGATGAAAATGCCCTGAAATTAACTGCTGATGTTTGTACAATCTTGTGACTATACCAAATACCACTGAACTTTACACCTTGAAGGGGTGAATTTTATGGAGTTGAATTTTAATCCAGTATTTAAAAGACAGTGAATGAAAATTCTTTACATTTAAAAAAGATTTAAGCATATATTTGAGAGTTAGAGCTATAGATACATAACACACACCCACAGAGAGAGAGAGAGAGAGAAATAGAGAGAGGGAGGGAGGGAGAAAGAGAGAAAAAGAGAGATCTTACATCCATTAGCTCAGTCCCCAAATGGCAGCAATGGCTATAGTTGAGCCAGACCAAAGCCAAGAGTCAGGAGTTCCATCCTGGTTTCCTACATGTGTGCAGGGCTCACGTCTTCCGCTGTTTTTCTCAGACGATTAGCTGGGAGCTGGATTCGAAGTGGAGCAACCAGGATACAAACCAGCTTTGGTGGTCAGGGCTATTTGGAGTAAAGCAGCAGATGGAAGATCTCTCTCCTCCCCCTTCCTCCTTCTCTCTCTTTTTGTAACTCTGCCTTTCAAATAAGTAAAATCAATCTTGGGCTGGCGCCACGGCTCAATAGGCTAATCTTCCACCTGCGGCGCCGGCACTCCGGGTTCTAGTCCCGGTTGGGGTGCTGGATTCTGTCCCGGTTGCCCCTCTTCCAGGCCAGCTTTCTGCTGTGGCCTGGGAGTGCGGTGGAGGATGGCCCAAGTACTTGGGCCCTGCACCCCATGGGAGACCAGGAGAAGTACCTGGCTCCTGGCTTCAGATCAGCATGGTGCACCGGCCGCAGTGGCCATTGGAGGGTGAACCAACGGCAAAGGAAGACCTTTCTCCCTGTCTCTCTCTCTCACTGTCCACTCTGCCTGTCAAAAAAAATCAACCTTAAAAAAATTGTTCATATTTGCAGCTGCATGATTATCTATGTAGATAAGACCAAGAAACACATAAACTTCTAGAGTTAATATGTGAGTTCACCAAGGTCACAGAGTACAAAATCAACATAGAAAACCTAATCCTATTCTATAGATGAAAAACAAGCATGTCCAAATAGGAACTAAATATCTAATACCATTTCATATTGCTCAAAAGAAAATGAAATACATAGTTTAAAAACATAACAAAGCATGAACAGAATCTGTATGTTCAAAAATCAAGAATTCTGAAGCAAGAATTAAAAGAAGATGTAAATAAATCAAGAGTCAGATCATGTTCATGGATTAGAAGATGTCACTTCTTTACATTTGATCTGTATGTCTAATGCAACTCCCATAAAAATTACAGTGTGGTTTTCGGTAGATTTAGACAAGTTTATTCTACATTTTCTATGGAAAGGCACAACTCATAGGGCAGTTTTTTTTTTTTTTTAATTTTGACAAAGAAGAATTATGCCATATGTCTAAAAAGCCAACCTTGAGAAAGTCATAATAGTGCATTGCTTACAATCTAAGAATGAGGACAAGGTAGATAATCTACAACACTTTCAAGGAGCTTGTGGTTCAAGAAGGAAACAGGAGAACATTATACCACAATATTCTCTGAGGACTCATTCCAGATTTACGTTTTCTTGTTTCAAGTTGGAAAGGAATTGGAAAGGTGTCCAGGAGATCATCAAAAGGTTTCTCTTTTGGGCACAGGAACTGAAATACATAATTTGAAACTGGATCCATCACTTGTCCATTAAAATCTCTGATTCTCCCTGCTCTTATCTCAATCAATGCCAGCAGCAAGTTACTTAGTCTGAACACAGCGGTCATCCCAGAGTGTTTTCTCTGGGCTACAGACCCCATGGGATTATCAAGTGCTACCACTTTCACCCCACTAGACTTTGAATCACAACCTGCTCTTATTTCCACCACAGTTTCCACAACAAACACCCTCATTCAGGAATCTCCAGGTCTATGGGATGACGTGTTTGTCTCCCATTTAGATTCAACCTCCCATCAAGTCATCTGTATGAAACTACAACCAGAATTACTTTCTGCTTGATATCATTTAATGGTCTCACCCACCTCCCCATTGATTTTTGGAAAGAGAGTGAGTTACTTGGCACTGCGCCCACAGCAATGGCCACCTATGATCTGCCTCCTGCCAGGCTCCTGCTACTTCACACCTCCAGACTTCCAAAGTATTTCCATGCACGTTCCATGCTGTGTAGACATTTTCAAGCTAATCCGAAGACAATTCTCACTCTTGTCAAGACTCAATTCGGGAAAACTGCCATACTCCTGAGCAGCCTGTGTCCCCCTCCTGTACCCTCAGTGTTCTCTGTTGAACTTTAATGTAGCATTAACAAACCCATTGAATCTGTTTAATTGTGTGCACAGCTGACAATTATTTCTAGTCAGAAATGCTGTATCTGGACATAATGGGCACTGGGTTAAGGTGCAGAACCTGAGGCATCAGGACTTCTTGCTCTCAGGTACACTGCAGCTGGGTCCTCCGCTTCTTCTCCTCCCACTGATTTGTGAGTTCTGAGCCAGCTGGCAATGCACAGTCATTTCAGGAGATCCAAGGACCAGATGATAAGGCAAGGAAGAACTGTCTCCTTTCCCAGAACTCAAGGGCACTTGCACTGTGTCTGGTAGTGCTCTGGCTTATTAGAGCTCTGGACAGCTCTGGGACTGGAGCACTACAACCTTTCCGCGGCACCACAGGAGGCTTCTGGACTCAAGGCGCTGGGCTGTGGAGGCTGCGGCCAGGCTGGGACGCTGCAGCGGCAGACCCAGGACACTGGTGCTGGCTGCTGTGTGAGGATTTCCCCCTGGTTATCCCTGCATAGCACAGAAGTGAGTCGCCAAGGCCATGTGGACTCCAGGACCCAGAGCTGCGTTTGGGGCTGCTGAAAGGGGCTGGAGCAGCGCACGCCGTGGGGTCCTCAGTCTCAGCATCATGGGCTTTCGGCACTTCCTCAGGTGACAGACACGCTGTTTGCCCATTTGTCTGAACAGGTCCACTGCCCAGGGGCCCTGGGGTAGCCCTACCTTCAGTCCCACTTGGATCCGCATGGTCCCCTGTGTGCTCACCTGGGTCTCTACCAACACTCCCTGGGTTCCACAGGTCAGAGTCAGTCCTTATTGCACGAGTCCCTGGGCACATCCAGTGGACTAGGACCCTACCTGGGCTCTCAGCTCTGCAGGAGACCTGCTCCTCATCTCTGCCATGAGCCTCTTCTCAGCCAAATCTCTAGATCTTAACTGAGCGTTCCCCCACTGCAGGATGGGAGGAAATCCAGGGTTGGCTCCCTTTTTCAGGACCTGGTGTCACTCCTGTTCCTGGGGAATGAAGTGCTTCTGCTTCTCATGGAGGCTCCGTCCTTCTTCCATCAGGCCCGGATCCCTTCCCAGTGTCCCGACTCATCAGGTTCTAGGCTGTTTCCAGTGTCAGGTTCAGAGTGAAGAGGGTCCTGTTACAGCCCAAGTGTGGGGAGACTTGTGGGGCAGGTGGAGCCCAATCTTCTTGCCTTCGGGTCCCCTAAGACAGGATCTACATTCAGGGCCTCCATCTGAGGCTCTGGCCTCTGCAGGGCTGGAGAACAGCTGGCCTACATCTTTCCTGACCCTGTGTCCCTTCCTCCCGGCAGCCGCTGCCTCTCCTGGAGCAGGATCCTGGCCATCTTTTTCCTGCCATTTATCTCATCAGGTCTTGCTTCTCCCTCGAAGCTGAGAGAGACCGTTCCGTCCCAAACAGCACATCCGCCGGAGCCCAGGTTTGCATGAGGGGGTAGGGAGGGCAGTAACTTCTCTCCTCTTCGAGAAAATAATGCATAGCAAAAGGGGCAGAGTATGCCCTGCTCAGGGGAGCAGCATTTTCCCCGAGGGCTCAGCACTCTCTGCTCTCCCCCATCCTCTGTCCCTTTCTGTCCTCCGCCATCCTGTCCCCTCTCCAGGTACAATTGGTCTCATTTGACCCCTCTCGAGCTGAAGAACCGATCTGTGGGACTTGGCACTGGGAGCACAGTGACGGGTCATGCACACTTCACTCTGAATGGTCACAAGTTCCGGATCTTCGGGGGCTCCATCCACTACTTCCGGGTGCCCAGGGAGTACTGGAGGGACCGCTTGCTGAAGCTGAAGGCCTGTGGCCTCAACACTGTCACCACGTGAGTGCAGCTCCCAGCCCCTCAGCTCGGGACCTCTGGGGAGCCAGCACCTGGCGGCTGCAGCCTGGCTCAGGGTGGATGTGGTCCTGTGTGAGGACTTTCCTTCTGAAGACATTCCTGCACCTGCCTGTCCTGTTAAGGCTTCCAACTGTCACCTAGGTCTTCTCCTTTCATTATTCTAAGATCAAAGCTTGGGGGGGGGGCGAGTGAGAGTAATATAAGGGCTCTTCAAAAAGGTTTTTGCAAAACTAGAAAAGACCTATAGTTTTGGTGCAAAAAATTTTGAAATCCATGCAGTTTTACCCCAGTGTGCACTTTCCCTATCTTTCGCAGGACTCCTCCTGTAGAGGGTGCAGGTGATTTCCTTAGGACTCTCTGTATCAGAAGAGTTATCAGGTTCCTTAGGAGCATTCAGTTTGTAGGGCTCTGTGACAAGTGTGTGGAAAATGAAATTAACCTATAAGCTTGCACTGGAACAAAAACTTTTAGAATTCATGTATAGTTTTTCAAAACACTTTGAAGATCCCTCATATGCATGAGTGTCAAAACTCTTTGCACCAAGGCAAACTCATATTTTAATTCTGTTTTCCACAAGCTTTGTGAAGCCTTCTTGTATGCTCAAGAACTCTTACAAATAAATACACCATTACAGATACAAATAAGTTTCTAAAACAATTTTTGCTTGTGTATATGGAGATGGACAGAGCAATGACAATGGTATCAAAAAGTGAACATGTAAGCAGATATTAGTGTCACCTCACTGACATTTTGTGACTTAATAAGCCATGAACCTAAATGGTTAGTGACTAAGCACAAAGGGATATAGTATCTGAGAGGCTGGGCCATCCATCCCGAAAGTGCCTCTCAAGTCATCACACCCCGGGACCTCGTTTGTCATCTGCACATGGGCAGAATATAAATTGCTTCAGTATGTGATATTGGTGATTACAGGACATGAAACTTCCATCTTATTTCTATCTTATTTCACTTCTGGCATTGATATTGGTATGTAGCCAGCCCTGATGGCCAAAACAGGTGGAAACTGGGCCTGGTCAATAGAATTAAGTGTGAATGGACATGAATTGAACATGAGTGTGTGATGGAGACAAAGGCAGCGTGTGGCCCGATGGACAGGCGTGTTCTAAGCATATTCAGGAACAACTTAGTACTAACAGTTATCCTGTGACATGGGTCATACCATTCCTATTGTGCAGGGGGAGAAACTGAGCACCCAGAGGCTAACGAGCTTGCTCAGAAGGACACAGGTTCTTTGCATGGTTGCAGCACAGGCGTGTGGCTGTGGATCCCACAGTGCACACTGGCACGGGGAACAACCACCTGTGCATTTGTGTGAGACAGGAATCACAAAGGAGCAAAGGCTCCATGCCTGTGCATGGGTGATGGGTCATAATACAGAAACCATGCTCAGTGTAACAGCCAAATCAGAGGCAGGAGCAGTAAAGTTCCCTTCCAAACATATCAAATTCTAGAAAAAAAGTAAAACTCCAAAAATCATGGGTCTTTAAAGTGGACTGACGGTAAACCCTCCAAAGCCACTTGGCAAAGCTGCATTGTTGAGGCTGCCTAGAACAGGACCTGTGGTTCCCTTCATGGGAATATTCATCCTTAAGATCATATGAAGACATGCGGCTCACTAGGCTAATCCTCCACCTTGCGGCACCGGCACACGGGGTTCTAGTCCCGGTCGGGGTGCTGGATTCTGTCCCGGTTGCCCCTCTTCCAGGCCAGCTCTCTGCTGTGGCCTGGGAGCGCAGTGGAGGATGGCCCAAGTCCTTGGGCCCTGCACCCCATGGGAGACCAGGAGAAGCACCTGGCTCCTGCCATCGGATCAGCGCGGTGCGCCGCCGCAGCGCACTGGCTGTGGCGGCCATTGGAGGGTGAACCAGCGGCAAAAGGAAGACCTTTCTCTCTCTCTCTCTCTCTCTCTCTCTCTCTCTCACACACACACACTGTCCACTCTGCCTGTCAAAAAAAAATCATATGAAGACAGAGCAGAGGCCATCAGCAGACTGTTTTTGCTATTACCAGAACTCAGGTGTTGATTTCAATATATTCACCTTTATGAAGTAATAGAAATTATTTTAGTTGTTCATTAATCATTCATCAATTGTTTATTCACAACTTGGTATGCTCTAAAGCCTGGAAAATTAATGTATATTCTCCCTATAGCAGCCTCCTGTGTGGTGTAGAAACATTATCTTTCTTTTTTTAAAGTTTTATTTAAGTTACACAAGTTTCATGTATTTCATAATATATAGATTTAGGAACAGAGTGATACTTCCTACCCTACCCTCCCTCCCACCTATGCTCCAACCCTTCTTCCTCCTCCCACTCTTACTACCTCTCGATTTTTTACAAAAATCTATTTTCAGTTTATTTAATACTCCTAAGGTTAACCTTACACTAAGTAAAGTGTTCAACAAATAGTAGGAGGAAGAAAACACAGTTCCTCATCGGAAGAGACAATGGCTGTAGACAATCATTGAAGCTTAGCATGTCCATTTCACTCCAATACATTGCATTACCTTTCATGATGAGAAAACTCAGGCCAAGAGAGGATGAGTCACTCTCCCAAGTCCCGGAGAATAACAGAGCTCAGCTGTCACTCAACAGGTGCAGGGCAGCTGTCGACCTGCTATGACACAGCGCTAGTAGACTTTCCAATTTGTTGACAAATAGCTGTTTATAGTGCCTTCTGATATTTCTATCTTATTTGTGGTGTCCATTGTTACATCTCTTCATCTCTGATTTTATTGATTTGTGTCTTCTCCCTTTTTTCTGGTTAGTTGGACCAATAGTGTATTAATTTTTTTTAAGAAAAATAGCTCTTCATTTCACTGATCTTTTTTTATTCAAATCTTGTTTTTTTCTTAATTTTAATTATTCCTTTCCTCTTCCTAATCTTGGGTTTGTTTTGTTCTTGTCTTTTTCTAGGTTATTGAGAGGCATTAATAGCTCATTTATCTGATGTCTTTCCATTTCTTTATGTAGGTACTAATTGGTACATCTTCCCTTTTAGCCCTGCTTTTGTTGTACCCCTAAGTTTTGATATATTGTATTGTCATTTTCCTTCATTTCCAGGAATTACAGATAGAAAGAAGGAGAGACAGAGAGAAAGGTCTTGCATCCACTGGTGCACTCCCCAATTGGCCACTACACCTGGAGCTATACCTATCTGAAGCCAGGACCAGGAGCTTCTTCTGGGCCTCCCACATGGGTTCAGGGGCCCAAGAAATTGGGCAATCCACCACTGCTTTCCCAGGCCATAAGCAGAGAGCTAGATTGGAAGTGGAGCACCCAGGACTCAAACCAGTGCCCATATGGGATTCTGATGCCACAGGCAGAGGCTTAGCCTACTATGCCACAGTGCTGACCCCATACACTCAAGGTTATTATTGATAAGTAATGACTTGGCCCTGCAATTTAATGTAAATGTTCCTATTGTTTGCTTTGGATTTCCTTTGCACTTTTACCAAGAGATTTTCTGCCTTCACACTCTTTTGTAAGGATGACTATCTTTCTGTGTTTTTGTGTGTAGTGCATCCTTAAGCCTCATTTGTAAGGCTGGATGAGTGGTGACAAATTCTTTCAATTTATCTTTGTCATGGAAGGTCTTTATTTCACCTCATCCATAAATGAGTGCTTTGTGGGGTACAGTATTCTGGGTTGATTTAATGTTTTCTTTTTAAGCTTAGACCATATCTGTCCATTCTCTCCTGGCCTGTAGTGTTTCTTATGTGAAATCAGCTGCCATTCTAATTAGAGATCCTTTGAAGGTAATCTGATGTTTCTCTTGTGAACATTTTAGAAACTTTAAAAAAATATTTTACTGTTGACAGTTTGACTGGAATGTGTTGTGGTGAAAATCCTATCTGGTCATGTCTATTGGGAGTTCTATGAGCATCTTGTACATGGATTTCCCTTTCCTCATTTAAATTGGGTACATGATTTCTCATTATTTCACTGGATAGGACTTCTAATCCATTCTCTCTTTCCACACCCTCACCAACTCCTATCACCCACTTGTTGTGTGTTTGATTCCTACAAATCTCAAACACTGTTTTAAATTTTTCTTATTTCTTGTTCTTCATAATTTTTTTGCTCTGAGATGTTTCTAGAGATTTGTCTTTTAGCTCAGATATCCTCCTTCTGCCTTACCACGTCTGTCGTGAAGGCTTTCTACTGTATTTTTTAGTTAATATATTGATTTCTTTTTTATGATATTTCAGTTTGATTTCTCTTCATAATCTCTATCTCATGGGAACATTTATCATTCACATCATTTATCAATTTCCTTAACTCATTATTTTGCTTCTCATTGTTTTTGAGTATTCCTATGATCATTCTTTGGAATTCATTTTTAGGCTTTTCATTAATTCTTCATCTTCACTCCAAAATTGAGTTATTTTGTTCTGTTAAGGGAGTCATTGTCTTTGCTGTTCTTTTTTCTTGTATTTCTGTGTTTATTTTTTTTAAAGATTTATTTTATTTATTTGAAAGACAGAGTTAGAGAGAGAGGTAGAGACAGAGAAAGGTCTTCCATCCACTGGTTCACTCCCCAGATGGCTGCAACAGCTGGAGCTGAGCAGATCCGAAGTCAGGATCCAGGAGCTTCTTCCAGGTCTCCCACGTGGGTGCAGGGGCCCAAGGACCTGGGCCATCTTCCACTGCTTTCCCAGGACATGGAAGAGAGCTAGATCAGAAGAGGAGCAGCCAGGACTAGAACCAGCGCCCATATGGGATGCCAGGCCTTTAACCCACTGTGTCACAGCACCAGCCCCTCTGTGTTTGTTTTTACACTTGTGTAAACACTTTTGCTTTTCCTTACTCATGGTTTTACCTTTTTAACTATGCCTCTGTGGCCTAATGGAATATCTGGTCTCTCGGTGAATACTCAGATGCTTGTGCTGGGTGTGGCCAAGGAGCTCTGGTCTGTGCTCCAGGGTGAGGCGAGTATCCAGGCTGACACCCAAGCTGGG